CCAGGCGAATTCTGACTTTCAAATCGCGGAGGTGGTCGTGTTGCCGTCTCAGTCGGAGATAATTCAACGTCATCAATCCCCGTATTTGCCGGCGACTCTTTTTCGGACGTCCTCTGCTGAACTTGTGACATGATTTTTAAGAGGTTTCTCGTTTGGCGATGTATGTAATAATAAAAGTAACAACTTCAAGATTACAACTTCTTATAGTCCTTAGATTTATTTAGATTATTGGCATATTGTAACACATGACAATCTCAAAATTTGGTGACTAGAATTACATTAATTTCGATGCGGGTCTGAACAATCATGCATACGTGCCGCTTTAGACATATCGACATATCGATAAAAGTACATGTAATCTTTAGCAGGTTTACGTTTAACCACTGCACATTAAACAATCTTCCTTGTTTTCAAGTTGGCATTTAACACTTTTGATTTTAATATCCGTTTCTTCGGTTGCTAAAACCTCTTTAAGAGAAGTTTGATCAACAGTAAACTATGGGATGATGGATGACGTGTAAGTTATGTAACATATGAATTCCACATATATAGTATATAATATACATATGTGTCTTACTTTGATGGCATCCGCCGCAGATCTCGTTCGAAGATAGTACATCCCCGTCTTTAAACCTTTCTTCCATCCATAGCTATTATGAGAACACATGAAATATATTCCAGTTAACATTAGACCCAACTATTTCGGAGTTCGATAAGCACACCTATACTTACAAATGCATGCTGGTTAACTTAGCATAAGAGGGTTCCGCTATATGTATGTTGAGGCTTTGAGATTGATCAATGAAGGCACCTCGATCTGCCGCCATGTCGATAATTGTTTTTTGTGACAACTCCCAAGTTGTTTTGTATAATGCTTTAAGTTCATCTGGGATGCCCGGAACTTGAAATGCAAAAAATGAATGTCATTTATATCATCGTCGATCACAAAAACCATTTCCTCATGTTAGTTCGCGCCAATATGCTTACCCTTCTGAATGCTACCATTGTCCGCGATAATCCTGTTTTTCATTTGATCGCTCCACAGGCCTAGATCCACCAGATCTTTCAGTAGCCAAGGATTCACAACTTGAAATTCACCGGCTAGGACGCGCCGTGTATATATGTTGCTTGTGTAAGGTTCGAAGCATTCATTAAATCCCAATATCTGAGAAGTCGAGGCAGTTGGCATCGGCGCCAAGAGTAATGAATTTCGTACACCGTGATTGGCGATTTTCTGTTTTAACGAATCCCAATCCCATAAATCACTTGGTTCAACATTCCACATGTCATATTGTAATATTCCTTGTGATACGGGCGATCCCGAATACGTTTCGTATGGGCCATATTTCTCTGAGATCTCGCATGAAGCTTCCAAGGCCCCATGATACATGGTTTCAAATATCTGCTTGTTCAGCTCCCTTGCGCGTAAAGAGTCAAAGGGAATACGTAAGGACAGAAAACAGTCCGCCATTCCTGATTACAATGACAATCGATTAGATTAAGATCTTCATTGATAAGTGACAAGACGCGTTTTACGAGGGGGATAGAGTAGTTTTAGTTAAAGTAGTGGGAAAAACGATGGTACCTTGCACACCGATACCGATCGGACGATGGCGAAGGTTAGATCTACGCGCTTCTTCAACAGGATAATAATTAATATCGATTATTTTGTTAAGGTTGCGAGTTATCACTTTAGTAACCTGCATCAAATGAGTTGTTATGGTTAATGCAAATTATTTAACAAAATCCTAAGTAAAATATACGAAATACCTCGTGCAGGCGTTCAAAATCGAACGTGTATTCTTTGATATCCACAAACATAGGTAAAGCGATGCTAGCCAGGTTACAAACAGCAACCTCATCTGGACTTGAATACTCTATGATCTCTGTGCACAAGTTACTGCACTGTATTGTCCCGAGGTTTTGTTGATTAGACTTACGATTACAAGAATCCTTGTAAAGCATGTAGGGGGTACCCGTCTCTATCTGTGA